CTTAAAATGTTGGGAGGTGGTAAAGGATGACATCATGAAAGCTTTCCAAAACTTATATGAGCAGGAAGTGTTTGAAAGAAGTTTGAATGCAACATTTATTACTCTCATCCCAAAGAAGAAGGGTGCTAAAGAATTGAGAGATTTCAGACCCATCAACTTAATAGGCAGCATCTACAAGCTTTATGCTAAAGTTCTGACAGAGAGAATGAAAGGGGTAATGGCTAAACTTGTGGATTCCCGACAAATGACTTTTATCCAGGGAAGACAAATCATGGATGCAATGTTGATAGCTAATGAGGCAGCAGATTCCAGACAAAAGCAAAAGATTCCAGGAATACTTTGTAAGCTAGACATGGAAAAAGCCTATGACCATGTTAATTGGGAATATCTTTTGACCACAATGGGGAGATTGGGATTTGGGATGAAGTGGATCCAATGGATCAGACATTGTATCACCACTGTGAGATTCTCAGTAGTTATGAATGGATCCCTGGTTGGTTTCTTTAGTGCAAAGAGGGGACTGAGGCAGGGAGACCCTTTGTCTCCTTTCCTTTTCCTACTTGCTATGGAAGGGCTGGACAATATGATCAAATCAGCTAAAGTGAGGGGATGGCTCAGAGGTTTTGAGGTCAGCAGACCTGGAGTAGATAATGTGGAAATTACCCATCTACAATATGCGGATGACATATTGTTATTATGTGATGCTGATGAAGGCCAACTAGAGTTGTTGAGGGTGATCCTAGTGTTGTTTGAAGGGTTCTCTGGTCTATACATTAATTGGAGGAAAAGCCACCTCTATCCAATTACTGAAGTACACAACATGGAAGCTTTAAATGCTGTTCTGGGAGGGGAAATTGGAGCACTGCCTACATTATATCTTGGGATGCCTTTGGGGGCCAAATCTCAGTCATATGAAATCTGGAACAATGTGGTTGAGAAATGTGAAATGAAGTTCGCAAGATGGAAATCACAATATCTCTCTACGGGTGGCAGGTTGACCTTGATTAATTCTGTTCTTGATTCACTACCAACCTATATGATGTTAGTATTCCCAATTCCCACCAGTGTAATCACTAGGTTGGATAAAATCAAAAGAAAATTTTTATGGCAAGGAAACAGTGAGAGCAAAGGCTACAACTTGGTTAAATGGGATGCTGTGATGGTGGGAAAGAAGCATTGAGGTCTCAAAATAAGGAATTTGATGAATCAAAGCAAAGCCCTTATGATGAAATGGTTGTGGAAGTTCAATAATGAAGAACAGTCCTACCGGAAGGAAGTCATTGAGGCAAAATATGAAGAGGAAGATAATTGGATGACCAAAGAAGTGACTACACCATATGGGGTTAGTGTATGGAGGTCCATTAGATCTCTGTGGTCTGAGTTTAAGGCTAACACGAAGATCAAAGTGAGGAATGGAGAGAAAACAGAATTTTGGAAAGAGAGGTCTTGTATCCTAATATATATTCTCTAGTATCTCACCAACAGAAGACCATAGTAGATCACTTGACTCCTTAAGGGTGAAACTTCATCTTTAGAAGACAATTAAATGATTGGGAGATTCAAAGGGTAACAGATTTTTTCAACACCATTGGGCAATTTAATGGATTGGAAGGAGGTCAAGACATTTGTGGTGGAAAGGCAATCGAAAGGGCAGCTTTAAGGTGGGTTGTGCATACAACTGGTTGAACCACACTAATCAGCTTTAAAGTCACTGACCATGGAGAGGAATCTGGAAATCAAAAATTCCACTCAAAGTGACATGTTTTGTCTGGTTGTTAGCCAAGGAGGTTGTACTGACTCAAGACAACTTAAAGAGAAGGGGGATACCATTATGTTCTAGATGTTTCTTCTGTGAGGAAAATGCTGAGACAGTTAACCATCTCTTTCTATACTGCAAGATCACTGGCCAACTATGGAGGTTATTCCTAAATCTTAAGGGTATGTCATGGACCATGCCTGCCAAGATCACATAAGCAATCCAGAGTTGGGAGGAAGCAGGAAAGCAATCCAAGAATAGAGACAGATGGAGAATTGTCTCAGCAAGTATATGGTGGGCAATATGGAAGGAAAGAAACTCTAGAGCTTTTGATAGTGTTGAGAATAGTATGCAAAAAGTCAAACTAAATTGTCATATGCTACTATGTTTTTGGTGTAATCAATTATACTCAAATGATACTATCTCCATAATTGATGTACTAGACTCAATTTAGTAAAAGATAGTAGGATTTGAAGTACATGTTGTAAATACTGACCAGTACAGTTTTAGTACTGACTTTTGAGGAATAGACAAAGTTACCAATTTCAAAAAAAAAAAAGGTTGATTGGACGCTTGATTTATTAATCACACTTGACCAGACATTGCTTATGCAGTTAGAGCCCATTTGGATTGGCTTAAAAAAGTAGTTTTTAAGTCAAAAATAAAAAAAGTCAAACTTAAATGACTTTTAAGTCAAAAAATAAAAAGTAAGGGGGATTGTACGAATTATGTTGTAAGGATTGTAAGATATCTGAAGTCAACACTAGGGTAAGGCACTATGCTTAAGAATCATAGTACAACTATAAATGGTTATTATGACTTGGATTGAGTTGCCATAGGAGAGAGATGACACTCAACAACTGGGTGCTTTACCTTTGTTGGAGGTGCTAGTTACGTGGAAGAGTTAAAAACAAAAGGTTGGTTTCTTGTCTAGCGCATAAGCTGAATCATATCAATGGTTAGAGCAATTCAGGAGCTATTATGGTTGAAATGGCTTATGCGGTAACTTGGTTTCCCTCATGAAGGTTCTATGAAATTATACTGTGACAATCAGTGCTATTAAGATTGCAGAAAATGTGATACAACATGATTAGACTAACATGTGGAGATTGATCATAATTTCATTTAGTTGAAGGTCGAAGAAACAATTATTCAAGTTCATAGGTGCAGTAGAAACACAAAGCCAGAGAGAAGGAGGATATTATTTCTTAATAATCATTATGTACAATATGTATGATACTTGGGGGGTCGTTTGGTAGGGTGTTATAAGAATAATGCTAACTAGAGTGTATTAGTAATGTTTGTGTTAGTAAGACTTGTATTAGCATGCTTGCATTAATTATACAAAGATTATTTCTTATGCATTGTAGGTTTGATGTATTAAAAATAGCATGCATTGCATAATTATTTTTCAAAAATATTCATTTACAAAAATACCCTCCACAAATATGGTGGAAAAGATGCAAAAAAGATTTTGAAAGACAATTTGGGTCTTTAACCATGCTAATGCATGCATTAAAACTCCTTGCATTACTAATACTATGGATTTTCATGTATAAGTAATACACACTTCAATACACAATAGTGTGCATTAGTTATACGTAGGTTGAAAAAGTGTATCAAACAAAGTACTACTAATACACAAGGTAATGCATGCATTATTTCTTCTAATATACTATCCCGAACGACCCCATATACAATTACATACAACAACAAGTAGAGTCCTACATACAACCACAAGTAGAGTCCTGTTACAACTACAAAGCTAAGGAGATACATTAGAGTTACAATGGGATTAGGGTTAGGATACAAGGTATACTACTTCTATTCTAACTCTATGTCGCAACATGTCCCCTCAAGCTAGTGAGAGGTGGAAGACTCACTCCTAGCTTGCTTCGAAACTTTGTAAACTCTTGCTTTGTCAATGTCTTGGTGTGAGTGTCAACTAGCTGATCTTTTGATCGAACAAAGCACGTGACAAGATTTCCTCGGGTTATCTTCTCCCTAACAAAGTGATAATCCATTTCACATGTTTAGTTCTAGCATATAAGACTGGATTTATAGTCATGTATAATGCACTGATGTTGTCACAAAACAATGTAGGAGCTGTCTTCAAGTAAACCTCAATATCTCTTAGGATGTAGGTGATCCAGGTGATTTCAGCTGTAGTAGAGGTAAGTGCCTTGTATTCTGCCCCAGCACTAGACCTTGACACTGTGTTGCTTATTGGAGGCCCAAGATATGCAGTTTGCACCTAGGTAAACATGTATCCTGTAGTTGACCTTCTTGTTGTAGCACAACTCCCCAAATCTGCATCTGAAAACCCATATAATCTGAGAGGTTATCTTGCAAGAAGCCTCAAGCCATATTGTCAAATACCCTTCACATATCTTATAATTCTTTTCACAGCTTGAAGATGCTCATTGTTTGTAGTTTGCATAAACTGACTAACCAAGTTGGCTGCATGTTATATGTCAAGTCTAGTTAGAGTGAGATATTGGAGACTTCCTACAATGCTCATGTATATAGAAACATCAACTGGACTACATGGATTCATGATTTAGGTTATATAACTTTATTTTTAGATATTTTAATTATTTTTAGGCAAATCCCTGCACCCGTATGCATACATAGATCCATATCCCTGAATCTTAAAAATTAGATCATGAAGGATCGTACCTCTAGATCCGCACCCGTATCGGACACCCGCACCTGAGTCCGAACAACTTAGCCATGGAGACTTTGCATATGTCAAGCGTGAAAGTGTAGAGAATAAAAAGGGTGTAAATCAGTAATGTGATGCACTTGAATGTAATATTTATGGATTACATGTTCAATATAGGATGCTAATTTTTTCCTTTTTCATTTGATTAAGTTTTATATTGAAGAAATCATAATTAAAATAGATTTCTATCATTTTGCATGTCGAGTAAATATTTCTTTGGTTGAGGTATGATAGCACGTGACTATACTATGTTCTAAAAATTAGAATGAAGGATTAATGTTCCACATAAGACAGTTCTAGATCTGCACACCATACATTGATATTCTAGTTTTATACACTTTCTAATCATTTGACCATGCTCTGGATGTCGATGGAAAAAGAAGTTTGGTTGCTAAGTCAAGTAATCATTCTTATTACTTCGTTACTGTTTCATGAGAAGTGTTAAGTAATAGAATTGAGGGAGGAATTCTTACTGTCTTCCTAACCATGGTGTCTTGATTAAATTTCATCATTTTTCAGTACTCAGGTGACGGAGAGACAGACAATTGTTGACACCTTCAATAAGGACACTTCCATATTTGCATGTTTGCTCTCCACAAGGGCTGGAGGACAGGGTTTAAACTTGACAGGAGCTGATACTGTTATCATACATGACATGGATTTTAATCCACAAATAGATCGGCAAGCTGAAGATCGCTGCCACCGGATAGGCCAAAACAAACCAGTTACAGTATACAGGTGTGTGTTGACTTCATAATCTTGGTTTTCTCTTGGCCAAACACATACTTAACTTGTCCCTAAATTTCATTTTGGCTCTCCACCTTAGCCTTGTTTCATTTTAACCCTCCAATTCCATTTTTAATGTACCATTTAAACACAAAAAATTGACTGAACAGACAAATGAAATTGTTCACCTATTAAAACCCGTGATGGATCCTTTTTAAGCTTAATATTCAATATTTTTATCGTCAACAACCTTCTTCGCTGTTTATTCTCTATCTTCTCTTCAACCTCATTTTTCCTTCATCTACTTTACTTATCCATTTGTTTTCTTCATGTACCTCCTTTTCTATTTAACTCTCTCTATGTTAAAGATAATTTTCCCTTCTTTTAATTTACATAATTCATTGTATGTATAAAATTTTAAATATCAATTATATTCTACGTTATAAAGTATTAAATAAAATGTTAAAATAATAAGTAAAGAGTTAGATTGAGGAGAACGATATCATATCAAAATTTAGATTTATAATTTACTCAAATGGTGTCTAAATATTTTGTTGATGCCATATAAATTCAAAAAGATGGATATATTTGTAATAACATAAAGATGTTTATATTAATTTGTTTCACTAATCAATCTCAACTATAAATTATGTAATCAATTGAATATAGCTAAGTAATATATATTCTTGTATTGCTTAAAGATGATAAATTAATACAATTAATGTAAAATACCAAGTAAATTTGAATAACTTGGAGAAAACAAAACACATGACATTATTAAATTAGATGTTATTTGTCCAACATGCATTGAACATTTAGTACTGGGTAAAAATTTTTTGTACTTAAATGGTACATGAGAAATGGAGTTGGAAGGTTACAATGGAACAAGGCTAAGTTGAAGTACAAAAATGAAATTTTGAGGCAAGTTAAAGGGGTTGTGTATGTGTTTGACCTTTTCTTTTGTATCACTTTCACATTGAAATTCTAGTAGTTCACACGTTTCCTTTTTGGCTTTCTCCTGGAAGGCTTGTGACTAGGAATACTGTTGATGAGAATGTATATGAGATTGCAAAGCGAAAACTTACATTGGATGCAGCTATACTTGAATCTGGAGCCCAAATTGAGAATGAAGGTGATGCAAAAACTATGGGTGAGATATTATCGTCTCTTCTGCTGGGTTAGGCGCGCCATGTTCTGACATGATTCAAACCAATATCATTTTGATCTATTGGCTTTCTTTTTCTTCTGTTTCTGCGTTTTCTGAGGGTGAATTGGAAGGTGGGGATTGATGTAGGATCCCTCCATTCTCATCCTCCCCCGTCAATCATAAAATGCCATGTTCGCTTGGGCCTTCCTTTGGAAACAGAAAATTGAGCCAATCCCATGGCCCTGTTGTATTATACTAGAATAGATAGACTCCAGTTTATAAAAATGTAAAATACACTGTACTTCAAGTCTTGTCGTAGGTAAGCCCTTATTTTAATTTTTATTATAGCTTTGGTCATGCACTTTTCCTAGCTGCTGTTATCGCTCAAAGTAGTCCTCCTATTTTGGTTGGACTTCCGGAATGAACACTTTTTGTTTAAATTTAACAGCGTTTTTAGTTGATTCTAAAGTTGCTAGAGTCGCGTAAATTGAGTGGCTTTATCGTTTTTTTAAATGTAGTTTTTTTTCGAATTTAAATGTAGTTTTTTTCCCAGTTTAAATGTAGTTCAAATTATCCTAACTTTTAGGCATTTTAAAGTTGTTTAATGGATGAACGAATTATAGAAATTTCTTCTCTGTTGCTAGCTCTCTTCTTCGGCTGTAGTCTATATGTCATATAACAGCTATAAACGAAAACCTTTTGTTTTTCTTTTGTGTGTTGGTATTTGTAAAAATAAGAAAAAAGTCTTACGTTATTTAGAAAGTAGTTTAATGGTTAACTGCGAAAATGACTTAATAACTGGGATGTGTGTCTGGGCCATTTAAGATATAATTCAAATTTTTTGATTTTTGGATGGAAGAATTATAATCCAAATAAGCTTGGATTAGTGTGATTTTTTCAAGTTCAGTTTTGGGTTAGTTGAATTTTTGGTAGATTTTTGAATCTTCCAAGGATGGCCATAATAATTAAAAACGTAGTAACCTTAAAATTTGCTCCTTTGAATATATAACAACATAATTGGTGAAATTACACGAGTAGAGTTTGGGGAGAGTAGAATGTACGGATGACTTATTACTACTTCGTAGAGGTAGAGCAGTTGTTTTTGAAAGACTATATCCTCAAGTGCAATAAATTCAGGTATAAAGAAGATAAAGAAAATGACGAAAACATACTAAGTAACAATAACAATAGTACGATAAACGAAATATCAAAACAAGAACTATGATAATGACAATGCCAGATACCATCCATTCTAAGCAAGACAACATTACACTACATATAAACCTTCTACTCTAATATGTGTCCTCCACACTCTCTTACCTAGGATTAGGTTCTTGGTAACTTGAAGCTGAGTCCTGTCTTATCACCTCTCTCCAATACTTTTTCGGTCTACCTCTTCCACTTTGTACCCTATATAATCAACCTCTCGCACCTCCTCACTGGTACATCTAAGAATCTCCTCTTCATATGTCCAAATCATCTCAATCTTGCTTCTATCATCTTGTCTACCACGGAGGTTACTCCCACCTTATTATAAAGATCCTCATTTCTAACCTTATCACTCCTAATATGACCACACATCCACTTCAACGTCTTACTCCGCAACATGTCTCTTCTAAACATGAGAGTTTTTGATAGGCCAACACTCCGCCCTAATAATAAAGTCGGTCTAACGACCACTCTATAGAACTTATCTTTGAATTTTGGTGTGTCATAACTAAGGCTGGCAATTGGACAGGATTTTTTCCGGTCCGGTACCGGTTGAACCGGTAAGGAACCGGTCTTATAGGTACCGGAACCGGTCCCAAAACGGAACCCAATTTTTTATCCGATTGATCCGGTTCGGTAAGAACCAGTTCCGGTCCAGTTGATCCGGTTCAACGGTCAATTAATTTTTTTTTTTTTTTAATTTGAACGTTATATAGTCGGTGGGCCCTTTTAGCCGTTGGGCTGGGGCCCAAAACGGCTCAAAACAGCCCCCACCCCTCTCTAACCCCTTAACACTATAAATATACCCATATTTTTTCATTTAAATCACAAATTCACAAACTGTTTCATTAACATCTTATAAAATCTCTTAATTTTCAATCTCTCATAAATTCATAATTATTATTTTGTGATATTGACTTGGAGTTCGAATTTCGGAGATTTATTTGAAGTAAATCGGAAGCTTCAATTGGCATCTCTCAATTTCGGCTTTGGTTATATGATTTTTTATTTGTTTTTTAATTAAGTTATTTTATTTTTTTGTTATATTATCTTTGCTTGTTTTTCATAATATTAATTATTTTAAACTTGAACATGAATTTTGAAAAATATAGTGGTAAAAGACCAATGTCGGAAAGAAAAAATAATAGGGGAGGAGGAAGTAGTTCTAATTCTAAAAATTTGCCACCTCCTAGATTTAGAATTAATACTAATGATTATACTCATGTTGATGAAACTTCTTTTACACGAGACTCACGACCTATTGAATTTAATTCCGAAAATGAAGTAGATCATGAAACTTTAAATAGATGTTTTACTAATTTTGAGGAAGAATTAGATGAGGAAGTAGAAATAAATGAGGAAGATGATGAGACCCCTACCCCTACTAGTCCGGCTACCGAATTACCGGAACAAGATGAAGTCCCCTCTTTACCTACTTTTTCAAAGACCGTTGTACGTGTTAAAAGATCTTTAGTATGGAAATTTTTGGTACAAAATGAGGAAAAAACTACTGTTACTTGTACGAAATGTAAATTGATCATGAAACATGTAACTACGGGTACACAAGGGGGAACGGGACGACTAAGAACACATTTGAGAAAGTGTAATAAAGAATTTGCTCGCCTAGATGATATAGAAAGGGCTAATAGAAATGGAATACCCATACCTGAAAATTCTATGGGAGTTGGAGGTTCTAATATGGTTCAAAGTGAATTAAATATGACTATCCCGGCTAGCCGAAGCACACACCGCACATATAGTAAAGAAAAAGATCGTAGAGAATTAGCTAAAATGGTTGCTGTTTGTGGTTTGTCTTTTTCATTTCCTTCCCATCCTGGTTTTATTCAGTATATTCGGGAATTGTATAACCCAGATTATGAAGGTATTCCAAGAAGTACAATTAAAAGTGATCTTTTTAAATATCAAAAAGAATATTGTCATTTTCTTCGTTGTTTATTTGCTTATTATGATGGTAGATTATCTATTACTTCTGATATGGGACGTAGTCCTAATGGTAATGATTATTTTACAATTACTGTCCATTGGATTGACCATGAATGGAACATGCAAAAACGAATATTAGGATATAAATATGTTGAAGAAACTAAAACCGGTGCTTATATAGCAACAAAAATAGGCCTTGTTTTACAATTTTATGGAATATGTGATAAAATAATGAGTGTCACTTTAGATAATGCTTCTAATAATTTGAAAGCAATTGATTATTTAAAATGTAGACTTTGTCCAATTGATAATGATTCTTTTCATATTAAGTGTGCCGCACATGTGTATAATTTGATAGTAAAGGATGGTGTTTCTCAATTTGGAATTTCTTGTGAAAAAATTAGACTTGCTTGTAATTGGATTTTTAAAGCTAAAATAAAAGCTAGAATTACAGAATTTAAAAATCGTTGTAAAGAATGTGGACTTGAATATAGAAAAGTTCCAAAAGAAGTATGCACTAGATGGAATTCTTTATTTGAAATGCTTCAAGTTGCTTATATTTATCAAGAGCCGGTATAATTAGTTTTTAATGCTCATAATGCGGACCCGAATTTGAGAATTGGCTATGAAGATTGGGAAAATACAAAAGAACTTATTGAATTTTTAAGTGTTTTTTATAAAGCAACAATGCTGCTTCTGGTCAATATTATCCAACTATTTCTTGTGTTTTAGTAAATATTTGTGCTATTTCATCTGAATTTGCAAAATATAAAGGAAAAGATCGATTTGAAAATTCCCTTGTTTTTATGATTGAAAAATTCAAAAAATATTTTTTCCCTATTCCTCAAATCTATTTGACTGCTACTACTTTCAACCCAAATTACAAATTAAAAGGTGTTGAAAGAATGGTTGAAAAGATTTATGCAAATTTAGAAATTAAAGATGATGAAACTCCTAGTGTTGAAGATTGTAAAAGTAGCATATATATAAAAGCTAGAGAGTTATATAATACATATAAATCTATGGAAAAAAATATTCCAATAGTTGAACCTCCATCTTGTAGGCCTAGAAGTGATGATACGGATGATTGGATGGATGATTATCTTGAGCTTGAATCATCTACTAATAATGATTTTGATTTATATTTTAATCAGGCACGGGAAAAGATTAGGCATGAAGAAGGACAACTTCAAGCTCCAATATTAGTATGGTGGAAGAATCGTGAAAATTAATTTCCGACCCTTGCTAGGATTGTTCGAGATGTGCTAGCGATTCAAGCATCATCGGTTGCTTCGGAGCAAGCCTTTAGTGCGGCGAGATTTATGATTGGAGATCATCGATATTCATTAGCAAAGGATAGTTTGGAAATATCGGTGTTGTTTCGAGATTGAGTCAATGCCGAAGAAATACCGGACTACCACAATTAAATAGCCAAATAGAAGACGAAATAGATGAAATATTTGGTGATAATAGTGATGATGGTATGGAAGCAATGGAAGAAGAACGACAAATACAAGTTCCAAAAAATGTTTCTTTTGAAATGATACAAAAGTTACGAAAAAATTTTAAAAAAAGTTTCAATTGTTAGTAGTTAGTAGTTAATACTTAGTACAATAATTAATATTCAATACCTAGATTATGTACTCTTTGTCTCTTTCTAATATTTGTATTGTACAGTTTATTTATTGAATAAATATACGGCTATTCGCCTTGATGTCTTTTAAAATAGTCTTTTATATTTAATCCAACTATCCAAGACATTTTACAAATTTAATTTTCAATTTATTTTAATATTAGTTTAAACTTTAATATAAAATTGAATTTTAAGGTTTAAACTTTAAATTCAATATAAACTTTAAACTTAAAGTCAATTTTAAACTAAATTCAAATTTTCAATATAAACTTTAAACTTTAAACTTTAAAGTCAATTTTAAACTTTAATTCAATTGAAACTTTAAAGTTTAAAGTTTTAAATTGAAGTTTTTTAATAATATAATATTATATAATAATTAAAGTTAATAAAAAAAATAAAAATACCGGTACACAATGATCCGGTAAGAACCGGTTTCGATCCGGTCCAAACCGGTTCCTATCCGGTAACTAAGGGACCGGGTGGAACCTTTGGGGAATTTCCGGTAAAACCGGTTCCGGTAAGATCCGGTTCCGGTAAATAAATCCGGTAACGTGTCCCGATTCCGGTACCGATTCCGATAAAACCGGTCCTGTTGATCCGATCCTGTCCAATTGTCAGTCTTAGTCATAACCCAAAAATCAAGGTCATGATGACACACATCCCAAACCCAACCCGGTGTGTA